AAAAAAAAAAAAAAAGGAAATATCTTAAAATTTCAGAGGCAGAGCAAACTCATAAGATGACCAGCAACTCATGGTCCTGCCACTGATTTTGTGACCCTGAGCAAGTTATTGCAATTTCTTTGTTCATTTTCTTTTTCAAGTTTCTTACAATTTCCTCACTTTACACTAAGACATACGGAGCAAAGCAGAGTGAGGAAGAATCAGTGGGTACCACCTACAGGAGGTGTAAGTGTAAATCATTAAAGATTGGGCCAAAATTAAATTAGTTTAGAGCTGGGCACTGAATTTATGGCTTATCTGACCACCTGGCCTGCCATCCTCCTCTTCCTCAGTTTCCCCACTGTCCAATCTGGGACTCTCTCCATTGTAAGGAACTTAAACAGAGATCATATAGGGTAGGATGAGTGATTAAATGAAATTCAAATCAGCATTGACAACTGCGAAGATCCAGGACAGTCTACAAACTTTACGGCTAAAGTAAAAGGTGAACAGCATCACCAAATACAAAGGCAGCATTTGAAAATTAGTAACATGTCCAAACACTATCAGTAGCCAATTAAACACAAAAAATAAAAGATGGCAGAGACACTAGAACAAAAATCATAGGGATTATAGAGTAATTTTACAAACCTCACAAAATGTAAGTTCTTTTGTGAAAAAGAAAATTACAAAAGAAAATTACAAAATATTATTGAGTGACATATCAGAGACCTGAATAAACCAAGAGGTTTGCCAGGTTAAACAGTCATTCAGTGTCTAGAGTTTCCATTTGTTTTTTAAAAGGTCTTTTAATAAATATTTATGGAGCACCTGCTATCCTGCTATACGTGCCAGTCACTGTGAAAAGCTAAAGATACAGCAGTGAACAAAATAGACTTTAGACTTTGACAGGAGCTTCCAAAAGTCGAGGCTGCGTTAACTGAGATGGGGAAAAACACAGAAGGCGGTTTGACATAATTTAAAATATCTTCGAATAAAATTCCATAGATAAGGCTCAGCGCCTATAGCTCAACCGGCTAAGGCGCCAGCCACGTACACCTAAGGTGGCGGGTTCAAATCCCCAGCCCGGACCCGCCA